AAAATATCCCAGGCGTGATTAAAAATGTGTATCAATCTCTCAAGCTAAGCTATGATCATTTGGAAAGTGATGAAGTCAGGTACTTGTTTTTGCTTTGTTCCTTGTTCAAGGAAGATAGTAATATCTGGCATGAACAATTACTTAGATACGGAATGGGCTTGGCATCTTTTCAGAAATTGAAAATTTAGAAGAAGCAAGAAAGAGGGTGTGTTATCTGTTAGAAACATTGATCGTTTCTTGCTATCCCAAGGTTCAGGCAAAAATTATGTCAAAATGCATGATGTGGTCCGAGACGTGGCTATATATATCACCTCTGAGGGAAGGCACGTTTTTATGGTAAGTCACAGTGTGAACTCAGAAGAGTTCCCAAGAAGAACTTCTTACGAGTCATACAGTCACATGTCAATTGTTGCACAAAAAATTGATGAGCTTCCTAAACCAATATTTTTACCAAGACTTGAGTTTCTAATGTTAAAACTATTTGAAGAGCCACTCAAATTACAAGATGATATTTTTGTTGGAATGAGTAAGCTTAATGTCTTAAGCCTAAGTGGATATGAGGACTCCATTTTGCCCTTCCCAAAATCTGTTCAGTTGTTGTCAAATTTGCGGACACTGTCTCTGATTAATTTAAGGTTGGATGACATATCAATTATTGGCAAACTTGTCACTTTAGAGATTCTACTTTAGAGGTGCTTCCAGTGGAGATAGGAAAATTGACCAATTTAATTTTGTTAGAGTTTTGGAATGAGAGAGTACCACTTGAAAATATTTCACCTGGGGTCTTATCAAGACTAGTTCGATTAGAGGAACTAACATTAGTGGAATGTTCTGGAGATGTAATTCACAGTAACTTGGACCTTTCCTCCAAGTTGACACGGTATTATCTAAATATGGGACAACAAGTTCGTAGTTACCACGATAGTTCACTCATGGATAATTACCACAGGATTATGGTTCTGGATGTCATTGAGACCACCCCATTGGGTGATTGGATCTGCCGCATGTTGAAGAAGAGCGAACTTGTACATTCAAGAGGAAATGGCTCCAAGAATGTGCTGACCGAGTTGCTGGGAGATGGACTACAGAACGTGAAAGATCTCCTCCTAGCTGATTGTGATTCAATGACACATCTCTTGGATATCCACTGTCAGAATAATATTCCATTCCCCAAACTTGAAAGACTGGAGGTAATTAGATTTTGTAGTCTACACTATCTTTTTAGCCCGTCCTTGGTTGTGGGGAGATCGTCAAACTCGACAGTAGCTTGCAGTAATGATGAGGAAGAGGAAATCTCTCAGAGGACACATATTAGATCAGAAGGGAACATGGTCCAAGTAATGAAGTTCCCCAATTTATATTACTTGGACCTTCATTTTCTGGAATGCTTCACTCACTTTTGCAGTGACACTGTTGAGGGCATAGATTTTCCTCGGTTACAAATCTTGCGCTTCTGGGAGTTACCGGAGTTCCAAAATTTCTGGCCTACAGACAACAACTCTATCGCTGACTCAAATCCTCTTTTTGATGAAAAGGTGTGCTTCTTCTATTCTACATGTGACGTATCATGAAAAACTATCTTTTTCAGTTTGTACTTGAGGGGTTTTATGATTTATAATATTACGTTATACTTGAGAATTAAAGATCTTTACTTATGCAATGATTATTGAAATATTATAAAGATCTATTTTTTTTACCTAGGTAAGTAAATTCAAGCCGGTTAATCATAATTCTTGGTGAGTGGAAGCTTGGCACAGAGGAATGACAGAATAAAGAACAAAGTTTACAACAATAATATTATCAAAATCTTACTTGCTGACCTATATGCTTCTTTATGTCTACCAGACATGGTGTTAATTAGTTTGCTGCATCCTGTAGTCAATATTGATCACATACATATATATAAAGGAATATGTCTTCAAGAAACAAAAACTAAATGTAGACAATAGATTGTTTTGTGACTTCACTGTTAAAATGGGTAAGTGGGTAAAATTCACCTGCTGATGTGAAATTAACCCTATCTTAAAGCAGAGGCAGATCTAGCTTAAAGCATTGGGTTCACGTGAACCCAGTAGTGTACTGTTGCCTACCATGTATTCATATTGAGAAATTCCTAAATATCTATAATTACTTTTTACTCCAAATCCATTTATTATTGTATATTAACTTGTGGCTTGTTATAGGAACCTATAACTTCAAATCCTGGATTAGCGTAAGTTAAAGCCATGAATCATGATACCTTTTTGTCAGTTTGTACTTGAAGTAAGTTTCATGAATTAAAAATCCCAGTCTTTCACTTCCTGTTACCTTGATGTAAGATGAGATATGGTTCATTTCTTGATTGTACTTGAATCTATATTGAATTTTCATCCCTTATGAAAAATACAAAGCTTTCAATGTTTGTAGGTTTCGTGTCCCAACCTGGAAGAGCTACAACTTAACGGGGCTAACAGCATAGCTGCTCTATGCTCTCCTCAACTTCCAACTGACTACTTCAGCAAACTTAAAATATTGCTACTATGGAACTGTGGCAAATTGAGAAACTTGATGTCTCCATCAGTGGCCAGAAGTGTTCTGAATCTCCAAATTCTAAGCGTAGAAGCCTGCCAATCAATGGAAGAAGTGATCAAAGAAGAGGAACTAGTAGAAGAAAGGACTATTAAGCCCTTATTTCCCCGGTTAGAAAAGTTGGTGCTCGAAGAGCTACCAAAGCTGGGGCATTTCTTTTTGACAAAGCATGCTCTTGAATTTCCATTTCTCGGAGAAGTGAGGATTAACAGCTGCCCTGAAATGAAGACGTTTTCCCTTGGATCTGTGAGTACACATAGTCTGGACAGGCTGATTGTGGACTATGCTGAGGTGAAAGATGATCTCAATAAAGCGATACAACAGCTCTTCAATTTTGAAGGTTTGTCTTGTACTCCGTCGTATAGCTAATTATATTTGTCTCATGCATTAATGCATACCTCTTCTGGTGCTCTCTTTCCATTTTAACTACTAAATAGTAGTAGTACTATTCAGATACTTATTCATATGTGACACTTGAAGCAACTTTCTTTTACTTGCCCTAATATTTCCAACTAGAAATCTAAAGCATCAGCATTCTCTTCATTTCTTTCAAGTAACAATTATACTTACTAAGGTAATCATCTCTGTTCTTTTGCAATCTCTGCTCCCAGGAACAAGAAGCTTGTGATGGTAACGGAGCCGAAGCTAGTGATGGCAAAAGCTAGCGTTGTCTAAGAATTTGAAGCTAGGAAGGTAATAAGCACTAGATGAAATAATCAAAGTGCGTGCAAGTTAGCTTGAACATCACCTGATACCTATGTTGATAGAGGTAACAAGCAAAAGCGGATCTACATTGTAACCTATGGGCTCAGGTAAATCCAGTTGCTTTTGCTCAGGACCTGTTTATTAGGAAATTCACTAAATATTTGTAAAGGAGTTGATTGTGAACATTAGGGGTGCTCAAACCAACCCGAAAAACTGCACCAAACCGTCAAAAAAAAGGCCGACTAGGCTTGGTTTGGCCGTTTGGTATGAGTAATGAAAAATTGAACGAAACTGACATATAAGTATATAATTTATATATATATTGTTAAAACTTTATATATGATTTTCTTTGAAATACATGTCAAGAAATATTTGTGATTCTCTCGTTGGATGTAATATCTAATAAAACTATACAGTGCATCCATTTTTATATACTTTAAATAATGCTCAATTTTACGTATATTGTCACTTTTTGAATTATCAAGTGGTTGTTGAAAGGCGTCAATCTACCTGTTCTTTCATATTTATATTTCATCGAATTTAAGATGGTGTATTATCAATAATTTTAAAATTAAATAAAGCGTATTATTTTTTAAAGAAGTTTTATGGCTCCATTATCAAAAATTTATCGTTAAAGTAGCAAAAATAACTATCACGTCCGTGGCTGCTGGGAACTCGACAGTAGCTTTCCCTGATGATGAGGAAGAGGAGATCTCCCAGAGGACACATACTGGACCAGAAAGAAACATGGTCTAAAATTTTACTGCTCTATGCTTTCACCAACTTCCAACTGGCTACTTCAGCAACATATCCAGTGAAATATTGGAAGTTTTGAAGTGCAAAGAATTGAGAAACTTGACGTCTCCATCAGTGTGGCCAGAGGTGTTCTTGATCTCTGGATACTATGCATAGAGGCCTGCTTGTCAATGAAAGAAGTGATCGCAGAAGAGGAACAAGGAGGAGAAGAAATGACTGATAACTGTACCTCGATGAGTTATCAAAGCTGGGGCATTTCTTTCTTTCCGATGAAACATGCTCTTGAATTTCCATTTCTCTGAAAAAGTGGAGATTAAAAGCTGCCTCGAAATGAAGATGTTTACCCAGCTGGGATGTATGAGTACAGAGAGTCTGAGAAGTCTGGTTGTAGAAAAACCGATCAGAAATCAATGCTGAGGTGAAAATGATCTCCAATAAGGCGATACAGAAGATGTTCAATTCTAAGATTGTATTTAAGCATTTTATGTGAAGACCTTAGCTGAAATCAGTAAGTTCTCTTTTCTTTTTTATATTACTATATTGATTCCATTTGATTTTAGAGCAAGTTGTTCTCAAATCTCAAGGGCAATTCCAGGGCAAGCTCTTTTTGTTGTTGTTGTTGATGAAGTAGTATCATTGATATGAGAGCATGTAATCCTCAAATTGTGGCCATAAGAAATGAGAATGCAAGAGTTACACAGCGAAGGCAATCATCTCAAACGATTGATGGAAGGTTTGGTGAGTTGTGTTGCAAAGCTATGGCAGAATGTGGACGCAAAGATCGCAAGCTAGGGAGGAGATTATGAATTTGAGTGGAGTGGCAGGTCAAATGTTGTCACGATCCAAAATTTTAATAGCCGTAACTCGGTAGGCAAACCATATTTTATTTTTAGTTAATAAGCGGAAAGTAAATGTGAGAAATATAAATAAGTCATAAACTGAAGCGTAAAAATAACAAGTAAACCACAAAATCTAGTAGCATAAGTACAAGAGCTTCGAAAATATGAATATAATGTTTACACTTGTTTAGAATAATAAAGACATAATAAGAATGATACAGGGAGTTTGGTGTTGCGGATCAACTACACAGCTCACCCCGAGATGTCCTCTGAAAAACAGTTACCAAATCAAGTGGGTCCATGTGCGCTCCTCTGGTGCACAAATCTAAATCTGCATACAAAAAGGTACATCAAGTGTAGCATGAGCAAGTATCATTGATCGACTCCATCGAAGTAGTGGTGATGATGGGTCGTTGAAAATATCATGCGTTTACACTAAATCAAATATATGTCTTCATATTTAAATATATAGTAATAAATACCACGTTTTTATATCTATTTCTGCCTTACATGGCATTTGATTCTCAGATGGATGGGATAGATAAGAGCTTACAGACTTGAGAAGTTACCTTGAGGTCATTTAAGTTCCATGTAGAGAGAGCCCAAAGCAGAATGAAATCATAGGCTGATAAAAGAAGAAGAAACAAAATTTATGCTATTGAAAATTGGGTTTATGTGAAACTACAGCCTTACATGCAATTATCTCTGAAATCTCATGGTATATAATTAACAAACTCTTTTTTTCTTTTTACTTAAAACTATATTGAACCACATATCTATTCTTTTTTGGCGTTGTCCCAACACTGATGAGCATCACTTAGGCCTACCTATAATAAGTTCTCTACAAACTTCTTTGACCGTTTTCAGATCATAGTCAAAGTTGAGAAAGTTGCTTACACTCTTGAGATTCCACTTCGTACTAAGATTCATCCCGCTTTGTACTATTGCTCCGCACCTCCCCATCACTTTACTAGAAAGATCAAAATAAAAAGGATCGAACTATCTACTCATTATTCGGAGGTGAATCATAGAACACCAAAAACTATGGTATTCTATGGACCTAACACAGGTCACATACCTCATGACATAAGATTGAAAGATCTAAACCTTCTTCTTCGGATCAGAAAGGGACGTGGCCAAAATGTATAAAGATCAGCCTAACCACTCATAGGGACATATCTATCCAGATAGAGGATAGTTTAGGCAGATTCATAGATAGATCTCTCTCCATATAGAGAGGTATCTCCGTGGATAGAGATAAAGATAGGGATCCATCCAGATCTTGATTCACTATTTTCATATTTTTTCTTTTTTCTGATTGATTACATTTTTTTGACGACAAGCTTTCGCTTCTCCCCATTGAAAATGAAGTTAGGCTTTTACACAACTTCAACTACCTTATCAATAGTGCATTTTGAGGATAGCCATGTGCCCATGTCCTATTGGAGCCTGACGCAGTTCTAGACATGAGAATGGTTCAGAGGCATGGGAAAGTTGTTATTCAACTTCTGATCAAATGGTTTACAACCAATTTGGATAAACTTATTTTAGGGTTTTTTATGCCAAAAACAGCTTTTAAATACTTAAGTAGTATTTGGATTAGACAAAAAAAAAGTGTTTTTAAACATTTATTTTAAAGCCAAAAATCATATATATATATATATATATATATATAGATAAAAGAGAATCCTAGGCCTGCCTACGTGGCGCCACCACAAACTAGGATTCCCTTTTAATTTATTTATTTTCAAAACTAGTCTTCCCCTTTCATGAAAAGTAGTGACTTTTATGAAAAGTTGCGACTTTTATGAAAGGTTGTGACCTTTCCGAAGGGTTGTAACATTTCCAAAGGGTTGTAACTTTTCCAAAGAGTTGTGACATTTTCGATAAGACACAATAAACATTTATTCACACTACCCTTTGTTGTCTATAAATAGAGGAATTT